GGCGGAGCGGAAGGGGGGTGCGGTCGAATAAAGTTGTCGGGGCGGAGGGGGCCTGGGCTGGCGTGGAGCCGCGCGGGGGCGGCTGAGACGGGGGCGCGGGGAGGGGGCGGACGGGGGGGCGTGCTGTGCCGAAATAAAGTGGTCGGGGCGGAGGGGGCACTGGGCGGGCGCTGGAGCCGCGCGGGGGCGCTGAGACGGCGCGGGTGAGGGGGTGGAGCGGGGAGGGGGGGCGCGGTGCCGAAATAAAGTAGTCGGGGCGGAGGACGCACTGGGCGGGCGCTGGAGCCGCGGGGGGGCGCTGAGACGGCGCGGGGGAGGGGGCGGAGCGGGGGGGGGTGCGGTGCCGAAGTGAAGTAGTCGAGGCGGAGGGGGCACTGGGCGGGCGCTGGAGCCGCGGGGGGGCGCTGAGACGGCGCGGGGGAGGGGGCGGAGCGGGGGGGGGTGCGGTGCCGAAATAAAGTGGTCGAAGCGGAGGGGGCACTGGGCGGGCGCTGGAGCCGCGGTGGGGCGCTGAGACGGCGCGGGGGAGGGGGCGGAGCGGGGGGGGTGTGCGGTGCCGAAATAAAGTGGTCGGGGCGGAGGGGCACTGGGCGGGCGCTGGAGCCGCGGGAAGGCGCTGAAACGGAGGGGGCGCATGATGATGATGTGGATGATGATGATGGTGATGACGGTGATTATGATGGTGATGATGGTGAGGATGATGGTGATGATGATGATGATGATGATGATGATGATGATGATGATGATGATGATGATGATGATGAAGGGGGGGGGTGCGGTGTCGAAATAAAGTGGTCGGAGCTCTAGACACCCTGTGCAAGAGAATAATAACAGCAATAATGATACGACTGATAATAACAATATTAATAGTATTAATAATACTACTAATACTAATAATAATAATAATAATGATAGTAATAATAATAGTAATAATAACAATAATAAAATAATAATAATAATAATGATAATGATACTGATGATACTGATAATAATAATAAAAAAAATAATAATAATAGTAACCTAACAGCGAAGATTGATAGGTTTCTAGTGGTCTCAAAAGAGAGCATCATGACTCCCCAGGGGGGTCTGGGCAGATGCCCGACGGGTGCCGCGGGAATCCGGGGATTCCTTTTTTAGCCAACACTAACGCACTTCGTGGTCTTCGAGTTCCCAGAACTCCGCTCGTGGGCATGATTTTGAATGCCCAGAGCCAACTGTAGGCCACTTCGTGGTCTTCGAGTTCCCAGAACTCCATTCTTGGGCATGATTTTGAATGCCCGGAGCCAACTGTAGGCCACTTCGTGGTCTTCCAGTTCCCAGAATTCCATTCTTGGGCATGATTTTGAATGCCCGGAGCCAACTGTAGGCCACTTCGTGGTCTTCGAGTTCCCAGAACTCCATTCTTGGGCATGATTTTGAATGCCCGGAGCCAACTGTAGGCCACTTCGTGGTCTTCGAGTTCCCAGAACTCCATTCCTGGGCATGATTTTGAATGCCCGGAGCCAACTGTAGGCCACTTCGTGGTCTTCGAGTTCCCAGAACTCCATTCTTGGGCATGATTTTGAATGCCCGGAGCCAACTGTAGGCCACTTCGTGGTCTTCGAGTTCCCAGAATTCCATTCTTGGGCATGATTTTGAATGCCCGGAGCCAACTGTAAGCTAAGCCACTTCGTGTTCTTCGAGTTCCCAGAACTCCATTCCCGGGCCCGAGACGGCCCTAGAGCCCCCAAAGATCGCACACAGATCGCCCAAGAGGCCTCCAGGATGGCCCCAGAACGGCCCAAGAGGCCACCAAGACGGGCCGAAGAGGGCCCCAAGACAGCCTGCGAGGCCTTGAAGACGCCCAAGGGAGCCTCCAAGACGGCCCTGGAGCACCCCAAGAGGGCCCCAAGTCGATCCGTAGCCATTTTGGCTCCAGCCAGTGTGGCTCAAAGCTCAAGCATGCTGGGCACGGCAGCGGGCAGGGCACACGCGCCATGGTCAGCGCCTGCCAGATCGTGCAAGCCATCATCAAAGTCTATGTGCCATGCTGCCTGATCGGCGCATTTCTGTTGCAGGACCAGCCCCTCACGGCCCTGCTTGCGCCCCGCGGTCCGCTCGCGCTGTTCTCTGTCGGCCCGGCAAGCAGGCTCGACGCCGCGGCGCCGCTGGTGGGCCAAACGGCGGCGGTGGCCAGCCCGGCACCAGGGCTGGCGCCACGAACGAGGCCGACGCCGACGCTGACGCCGAAGCCGACGCCAGGGCCACCCGCAGCTGGCGAAGGCCACGGGCCTGCTGGCGGGGGCGCGGAAGAAGACGTGCCCCCGCTCCCGGCCGTCCTGGAGCACGGCTGGTTCCGTGATTCCAGGTGTACGAAGCTCGCCATCCCGTGGAGGGGTGCCCCCAGCAACATAGACGTCTGGCGTCCCAACGGGTCTTGCCTCCATACAGATGGAAGCAAGGAGTCGTACCAGTTTGTCTGCAGCGCGTCCCTTGGGCTCGTGTTCGTGCAGAAGATGGACCGAGATTGCAACAGGTTGAAGCAGCAGAATGCCATAGCGCCCGAGATGTGGCAGCGCATAAAGCGGGGCGAGTGCATCTTCTATGGCACCGCCGAGATGGGCAACGACGTGTACAGCCAGCTGAACACGACGCTGCCAGCATCGTACGGAGTGGGCTGCGCGGCCTTCCCCCCCCCCCCGCGGCCTTCTATCGGGGACAGGGCCGGCGTCGCCTGCCCTCCCGGCTCGGCCGCGCTCGGGGTCGACGGCGGGCGCAGGCTCGAGCTGAGCCTCCTCCTCCCGTCGAAGTTCAGAGACCTCTTCGCCTCCGAGCAGGTTCAGCAGTACAGCTTTTGCATTAAATCGATCTCGGTGACGGTCGAGGACCAGAAGAACGAGCCCGCGAAGACGCTGGACAAGGGGACGCGCCGCGCACTGGACGTTCCACGAAACGAGTCTGCCTTCTCGGACGTCAAGCTGCTGCTGGCCGTCATGACGCCCACCTACGCCTGCGACGTGCGCAACGTGCACAGGACGACCTGGATGACCCACAGGCGCGTCTGCGCCTTGCGCCGCCACGCAGAGGCCGGGTGCTCGATCATGCCTCTGTTCGTATTCGCGAACGTCTCGCGCGACGCCGTTGAGGAAGCCGACGATGTAGTGTTTCTGCCCGACGTGCAGCCTTCCAAACGCCTGAGCAACGGCGTCAGTGTCTGGTGGAAACTCGGCAAGAACAGGGATATGTGGAGGGAGGGACAGTACAAGACCCCAGCGTGGTTCCAGCACGCCCTGCAGTATCCCTGGGCGACGCACATCGCAAAGATGGACCTTGACACGTATCCCTTCGTGACGGCGATCTACAACGACTTGATCCGCCTTCCGCCCACCCGCGTGTTCTACGGCAGGCAGTTTTCCGTGGGGGGGGGGGCATGTATGGCGAGTTCTATCTTGTCACCAAGGACGTCGCGGCGGGGTGGGTGGACGTGGAGAACTTAACGAGGAAGGCGCGGCGTGCGCAGTTCAAGGGCATCGCCGAAGACCAGACGTTTGCTACGGTCATGCGTTTGGGAGTTCATACTTATTGGTTTGCTTTAAACGGCTGTAGGCAAGTTAGATGGGTCCACATGAGATAGCCGCTTGGACACCCTGGCGCCTTGCAGTGGCAGGCCAGCCCTCTTTTCGATTGTCCAGGGGTGCACACAGTGGCCACCACGTGTTCAGGGTCCAGGGGGGGAGGGGACAAGAGCACCAGCATCTAAGAGTGAGCGCCCATGTCGCACGTCAGCCGAGACCTGTCTGCTGTGCCGAGTCAGAGCTCCGATCGGCGTGTGGAGATTCGCCCAGGCCTGGCCTACTTGAAAACTTATAGCCGGAGTGCAGTATCCCCAAAGAGGGTTTTTAGACCCACTGCGGTTTCCAAGGTCGATTGCGTGCCCGCCTAGTGCGGGCTGGCATGGCATGTTAAAACATGCCTCCTCCTCCTCCTCCTCGTCCACCTCCTCTTCATCCCGAAAGGCATCTCGGAACCCAGAGTTGCGAGGATGTCTCCAGCGTAACGGGCTGGACCACCTCGCGCGCGGCATTTCGGACCCCAGAGTTGCGACGATGTCTCGGGCGAAACGTGCTGCGAGGAAGTCTCAGGCGAAACGGGCCGGACCACCTCGAGCGCGGCGTCTCAGAGTTCCGAGTTGCGGGGGCCTCCTGGTGCCTCCTGGGGCCTCCTGGGGACCTCCTGGGGCTTCCTCCCGGGCCTCCTGTGGCCTCCTGAACTCCACCTGAGATTTCCTGAAGCATCTTGGGGCTCCCAGGGGGGATATCTAACCTGTGGCCGTTTGGGCCCCTCCAAATACGGGGGGGCCACAGGAGCAGGAAAAATCAACGAATCGACACCGGATGTGTATTAACTTGACACGTTCTGATAAGCGGCCTCCTGGGGCCTCCTGGGAGCCTCCTGGGAATCTCCTGCGGACCCCTGGGGCCTGTCCTGGGCGTCCTGCGGCCTCCTGAAGCTCTCTGGGACCTCCCCCTCCTCCTGCCTGCTCCCTCATGCACATCATCCGCCTCCTCCTTCTCCCTTCCATCTCCTCCTCCTCCTCCTCCTCCTCCTCCTCCTCCTCCTCCTCCTCCTCCTCCTCCTCCACCTCCTCTTCATCGCGAACGGCATTTCGGAGCCTAGAGTTGCGAGGATGTCTCCAGCGTAACGGGCTGGACCACCTCGCGCGCGGCATCTCGGACCCCAGAGTTGCGACGATGTCTCGGGCGAAACGTGCTGCGAGGAAGTCTCAGGCGAAACGGGCTGGACCACCTCGAGCGCGGCGTCTCAGAGCTCCGAGTTGCGGGGGCCTCCTGGTGCCTCCTGGGGCCTCCTGGGGCCTCCTGGGGACCTCCTGGAGCTTCCTCCTGGGCCTCCTGTGGCCTCGTGAACTCCACCTGGGGTTTCCTGAAGCCTCTTGGGGCTCCCAGGGGGGATATCTAACCTGTGGCCGTTTGGGCCTCTCCAAATGGAGGGGGGGGGGCACAAGAGCAGGAAAAATCAACGAATCGACACCGGATGTGTATTAACTTGACACGTTCTGATAAGCGGCCTCCTGGGGCCTCCTGGGAGCCTCCTGGGAATCTCCTGGAGACCCCTGGGGCCTGTCCTGGGCGTCCTGCGGCCTCCTGGTGCCTCCTGGGCCTCCTGGGGACCTCCTGGAGCTTCCTCCTGGGCCTCCTGTGGCCTCCTGAACTCCACCTGAGGTTTCCTGAAGCATCTTGGGGCTCCCAGGGGGGATATCTAACCTGTGGCCGCTTGGGCCTCTCCAAATGGAGGGGGGGGCACAAGAGCAGGAAAAATCAACGAATCGACACCGGATGTGTATTAACTTGACACGTTCTGATAGAGGGCCTCCTGGGGCCTCCTGGGAATCTCCTGGGGGCCCCTGGGGCCTGTCCTGGGCGTCCTGCGGCCTCCTGGACCTCTCTGGGGCCTCCTGAGGCTCGCAGGGTCCCATGGAGGATATGTAACATGTGGCCTTCTGGGCCCCCAGGCTGGACCACCTCTTGCGCAGCATCTGAGAGCTCAGAGTTGCGAGAATATCTTGTGCGAAACAGGCCGGACCACCTTGCGCACGGCATCTCAGATCTCAGAGTTGCAAGGATTTCTCAGGCGAGACGGGCCGGACCACCTCGCGCAGGGCATCTCAGAGCTCAGAAGTTCGAGGATGTCTCAGGCGAAACGGGCCGGACCACCTCGCGCGCGGCATCGGGGAGATCAGAGTTTCGAGGATGTCTCAGGCGAAACGGGCCGGACCACCTCGCGCGCGGCATCTTGGAGCTCAGAGTTGCGAGGATGTCTCAGGCGAAACGGCCCGGACCACCTCTCGCGCGGCATCTGGGAGCTCAGAGTTTCGAGGATGTCTCAAGCGAAACGGCCCGGACCACCTCTCGCGCGGCCTCTCAGAGCTCAGATTTAGGAGGATGTCTCAGGCGAAACGCTCAATCCCGGACAACTCAGAAACGAGAGTTGTGAGGATGTCTCAGGCGAAACGGGCCGGACCACCACATTTGTTTGAGGATGTCTCTGCTTAGCTTTCCCTCGGCCGGAATTAGCTTCTATCACAACAGCACCCCGTTCAGCAAGCTGTTTGGGGAATGGGGAAAAAGAGGGCCCCAAGTCCAGATCACCTCGGGACCTCGCGGCGCCTGGGGGGTTGCGATCTGCGCAACTGTCGCCACTTTCGTGGGCTCCTGGGAGGCCCAGCGGAGTTGGGGTACACGCAGATCACCTCGGGACCTCGCGGCGCCTTCTGGGGTACTGCGATCTGCGCAACTGTCGCCATGTTCGTGGGCTCCTGGGAGGCCCAGCGGAGTTGGGGTACACGCAGATCACCTCGGGACCTCGCGGCGCCTGGGGGGTTGCGATCTGCGCAACTGTCGCCACTTTCGTGGGCTCCTGGGAGGCCCAGCGGAGTTGGGATACACGCAGATCACCTCGGGACCTCGCGGCGCCTGGGGGGTGCGATCTGCGCAACTGTCGGCACTTTCGTGGGCTCCTGGGAGGCCCAGCGGAGTTGGGGTACACGCAGATCACCTCGGGACCTCGCGGCGCTGGGGGTTGCGATCTGCGCACTGTCGCCACTTTCGTGGGCTCCTGGGAGGCCCAGCGGGGTTGGGGTACACGCGGATCGCGTCGGGACCTCGCGGCTCCTGGGGCTGCCAACTGCGCAATTGTCGGCACTTTCGTGGGCTCCTGGGAGGCCCAGCGGAGTTGGGGTACACGCAGATCACCTCGGGACCTCGCGGCTCCCTGCGGGGGGAGCTGCCACCTGCGCAACTGTCGGCACTTTCGTGGGCTCCTGGGAGGCCCAGCGAAGTGGGGTTACACGCAGATCGCGTCGGGACCTCGCGGCTCCCTGCGGGGGGGGCTGCCAACTGCGCAACTGTCGCCACTTTCGTGGGCTCCTGGGAGGCCCAGCGGAGTTGGGGTACACGCAGATCACCTCGGGACCTCGCGGCGCCTGGGGGGTTGCGATTTGCGCAACAGTCGCCATGTTCGTGGGCTCCTGGGAGGCCCAGCGGAGTTGGGGTACACGCAGATCACCTCGGGACCTCGCGGCTCCCTGCGGGGGGAGCTGCCAACTGCGCAACTGTCGGCACTTTCGTGGGCTCCTGGGAGGCCCAGCGGAGTGGGGTGACACGCAGATCGCGTCGGGACCTCGCGGCTCCTGCGGAGGGAGTTGCCAACTGCGCAATTGTCGGCACTTTCGTGGGCTCCTGGGAGGCCCAGCGGAGTGGGGTGAGGCAGGCTGATGCTGAGGCTGAGGCAGGCTGAGGCTGAGGCAGGCTGAGGCTGAGGCCGAGGCTGAAGGCAGACTGAGGCTGAGGCTGAAGCAGGCTGAGGCTGAGGCTGAGGCAGGCTGAGGCTGGCTGAGGCATGCTGATGCTGAGGCAGGCTGAGGCTGAGGCTGAGGCTGATGCAGGCTGAGGCTGAGGCAGGCTGAGGCTGAGGCCGAGGCTGAAGGCAGACTGAGGCTGAGGCTGAAGCAGGCTGAGGCTGAGGCTGAGGCAGGCTGAGGCTGAGGCTGAGGCTGAGGCTGATGCTGAGGCAGGCTGAGGCTGAGGCTGAGGCTGATGCAGGCTGAGGCTGAGGCAGGCTGAGGCTGAGGCCGAGGCTGAAGGCAGACTGAGGCGAGGCTGAAGCAGGCTGAGGCTGAGGCTGAGGCAGGCTGAGGCTGAGGCTGAGGCAGGCTGATGCTGAGGCAGGCTGAGGCTGAGGCTGAGGCTGATGCAGGCTGAGGCTGAGGCAGGCTGAGGCTGAGGCCGAGGCTGAAGGCAGACTGAGGCTGAGGCTGAAGCAGGCTGAGGCTGAGGCTGAGGCAGGCTGAGGCAGGCTGAGCTGAGCTGAGCTGAGGCTGAGGCAGGCTGATGCTGAGGCAGGCTGAGGCTGAGGCAGGCTGAGGCTGAGGCTGAGGCAGAGGCTGAGGCTGAGGCTGAGGCAGGCTGATGGCAGGCTGAGGCTGAGGCTGAGGCTGAGGCTGAGGCTGAGGCTGAGGCTGAGGCTGAAGGCTGAGGCACTGAGGCTGAGGCTGAAGCAGGCTGAGGCTGAGGCTGAGGCTGAGGCTGAGGCAGGCTGATGCTGAGGCAGGCTGAGGCTGAGGCTGAGGCTGATGCAGGCTGAGGCTGAGGCAGGCTGAGGCTGAGGCCGAGGCTGAAGGCAGACTGAGGCTGAGGCTGAAGCAGGCTGAGGCTGAGGCTGAGGCTGAGGCTGCTGAGGCTGAGGCTGAGGCAGGCTGATGCTGAGGCAGGCTGAGGCTGAGGCTGAGGCTGATGCAGGCTGAGGCTGAGGCAGGCTGAGGCTGAGGCCGAGGCTGAAGGCAGACTGAGGCTGAGGCTGAAGCAGGCTGAGGCTGAGGCTGAGGCAGGCTGAGGCTGAGGCTGAGGCAGGCTGATGCTGAGGCAGGCTGAGGCTGAGGCTGAGGCTGATGCAGGCTGAGGCTGAGGCAGGCTGAGGCTGAGGCCGAGGCTGAAGGCAGACTGAGGCTGAGGCTGAAGCAGGCTGAGGCTGAGGCTGAGGCAGGCTGAGGCTGAGGCTGAGGCAGGCTGATGCTGAGGCAGGCTGAGGCTGAGGCTGAGGCTGATGCAGGCTGAGGCTGAGGCAGGCTGAGGCTGAGGCCGAGGCTGAAGGCAGACTGAGGCTGAGGCTGAAGCAGGCTGAGGCTGAGGCTGAGGCAGGCTGAGGCTGAGGCTGAGGCAGGCTGATGCTGAGGCAGGCTGAGGCTGAGGCTGAGGCTGATGCAGGCTGAGGCTGAGGCAGGCTGAGGCTGAGGCCGAGGCTGAAGGCAGACTGAGGCTGAGGCTGAAGCAGGCTGAGGCTGAGGCTGAGGCAGGCTGAGGCTGAGGCTGAGGCAGGCTGATGCTGAGGCAGGCTGAGGCTGAGGCTGAGGGCTGAGGCAGGCAGGCTGAGGCTGAGGCAGGCGAGGCTGAAGGCAGACTGAGGCTGAGGCTGAAGCAGGCTGAGGCT